CCTTTTCCGTTAATTCAATCAACACATGCGTTTGAGCACATCCTGTATCCTGGGGACACAGTGGTGAGCACCACAAACCCAGTGTCCCGACCTCAAGGTGCTACCTATTTGGTAGAAAAGGGCAAAGAAATGCAGCTATACTCGGGTGGTTAAGTGTTAGATGGGGTGCACGGAAGCAGCGATGAAAAGGCTGCGGATCTCAGGAGGGCTCAAAAGAGCAGCGGCGGCCGCAGGAAAGAAAAGGCAAAGAATGAAACCCGCAACCCCCACCCACTGCCTGAGCCCCTTCTTCATCTCTGCCAATCAGGCCTCAGCACCGCCGGCCGGCCGACCAATCAGAGCTGGAACAGGAGCGCTTGGAGCAGGGCCCGGGCTTCCCGCGGGAGGGCGGCTGGAGCCCGCACGCCCCGCCCCGCCCCGCCCCGGCCCCTCCCCTCCCCGCCCCGGCCCCGCCCAGGCCCCGCCCCGCCGCGGCCAGCCGCGCCTGCCTGGAGCCCCCTGGCCAGCGGCCGGCCGCTGGGGCCGAGTATTGTCCCAAAGGCCGAAAAGAGACGAAAGCGGGGAGATTGGGGGACAGCCACGTGACCGGGGGAGGATTTACAATATTTTCTTTCTCTGTCGAAAATATTGCAAAATGTATGGAAGGGACCGCACGGCCAGGACAGGAGCGTGAGCGCGCGGGCAAGGTAAGAAGCCTCCGGCCGGCTTCGCGGGACTTGGGGACACCGGGAGGAATCGCGGCACCACCGCGCTCACTGAGCGGCTGTCGCGGGGTCTGCGCCCGAGGGCGCGCTCTGAGCCTCGTGAGCCTTGAGCGGTGTAGACGCGGCCCGGGCGCTGAGGCATCTCCGAGGCGGCGTGGACGCGGCCCCTGAGCCGAGGAGTCCTCGGTGACCCGGGGGCTGCCGTGGCGGTGTAGACCGGCGCAGGCGGTGCGGCTGGGGCGCCTCCGAAATCCCGACGTAGTCAAGGCTGAGGTGGGCAGTCAGCGCAAGTCGCGGCGGTGAGACCGTGGAGACGCGGAATGTGCCCCGGGCAGCCTCCAGCCCCCCGGGGGCAGGAGGCGCCGCCGGGCCGCGTGCAGGTGTAGACGCGCGCTGGGGGCCGCCGCGCAAAGTTTGCTGGAGTGCGCTGGGCGGGCGCCAGAGGCTGGGCGCTGGGGCTGGGACGCGCTGCCGGCGGGTCCCCGCCGCTCCCCGCCGCCGGCGCCGCGGGGGACCCCCCACTCCCCAGCCTCAGCAGCCGCGGCGGGGTGGGAGGGGGCGGTGGGGGGGGGGCGGGGACTAACTGAACTGAGCGCCGGAGGGAAACAGAGGAGATTGACTTGGAGCCTTTCAGACAGGTTCTCGAAGCGCCCGCGCTGTGCCCGCCGGAGCCTGGGGTCTCTCCATTTCACCCGGGAGGAATCTGAGGGGCAGAGGCCAGCTTACCGACACGACACACGCTGAGGGGACTCAAACCCGGTCTGGTCCAAGCCCGGAGCCCAGCTCCTTCCCTCCTTCCACTTCTGTCTCAGCGAGGAGAAAGGCGTGGTAGCGGAGGGGGGCAGTTGGGACTTGGGGGTGGGGTGTAGGAGGACCGGGACTGTCGCATCTGCCTCCCACTGCCTCTCTGTGGCTCTGGGTGGCCCCTCAGCACCAGTGGAGGGAAGAACGGAGGAGGGAAGGCAAAGATGGGAAGGAAGGGTACTGGGCAGGTGATGCCATTCCCCCACCTACCTGGTCCCCAGGGGTGCTGTGCCCGGGGCGGATCAAGTGGGCAGAGCACCTATGTGACACTCCCCTGTAGGGGAAGGAGGACACCCCAACCCAGTTTCTGCCACAAAGGCAAGGCAGAAGGGAGCCCAGAGGAGGGAAGAGATACCTGTACACCCAGGGTGGCTCTTGGGGTGGCTCAGTCCCCTCTCCCACCACTCCCTGGGACTTTTGCCCCCCCCTCCCCCCTTCTTACTCCTCCACCCTCCCAGTCTCTGTGATCCCTCCACTGCGGGTCCTTTGCACGTGTTGTTTGTTTGTCTATTGATTGATCGACAAGTAATCATCAAACATCCCAGGCATAGGCAACTCAGTGGTGAGCAAGGCAGACCCAGTCTGGGACTTCCAGACCAGCGCAGGGACACAGATGATGAACGATAGTCCAGAAGGGAATGAGGCATAGGAATGGGAGACAACCTTGGGTGGGCATGAAGGAACGGTTCACTGGAGAGGTGACAGTGAATCAGAGGGATTAATGCCTCCTCAAACTTTGGGTCCCAGTCACCTCCTCCTGGAAGCCTTCCCTGACCTCACTGACCTGACCCTTCCCCTGTTGACAGGCTGTCGTAACCTGGGGACCACTCCCTCCACGGACATTTTTATGTCACTATTGGGTTAATGTTTGTTTCCCTCCATCAGATGTAAGTGTCACGAAGGCCAGACCTGAACCTCTTTGGGGGCAGACGGTAGACAGAATGAATAAAGGATGGGTAGAATTTCCCCAGAAAAGCACAAGAAAAAAAAAAAAAAATCTCAGCCAGGTCAGGTATCCAGATGACAGAAACTTTTCTTTCCCCTTCCCTGGACTGAGTCCTGGGCTCCACACCCCATTTGCAGTTTACAGAAACAAAGTAAAAGAAACCAGCAGGCCTGGTAAGGAAGAGAGCAGGGAGAGGCCTGGTACAGTTGGCCCACGGAAGCTCCGAGGCTGTTCCACTGGAAGGGAAGGAACCTGCAGAAGGGGAGGCCTGAGGACAGGCGCCTGTCCTGTTCAGACCAGGCAGGACCAACCTAGTCATTCTTCCGTGCCAGCTCTCAGAGGCTTGGTTTCCTTTAAATGCTACTCTGGAGAAGGTGCTGGCCAGCAGGGTCCCCAGGATGGCCACGGGACAGGGCCACAGCAACTGCCCGCCCTCCCCTGCCCCTCCCCCAATCTGGAGTGGACAGGCCCCGGGGCAGCACCTGTCTGACCCAGAGTCCGGCCTCTGGGCCACAATTAGCTGTCCAGGTTACCTGCAGTTCGTTTAAACTCCTGCCTGGAAAATACGACTCGGGCTTAGAGGGACCGACTTTTTATTTTTCGTAGTTTCTACACGCAGTGAATTTCTCCCTCCCCTGGCTCTCTCAGACCTGTGCGCCTGGCACCTTTCCTGTGGCAGATTATGCTCTCACAGATGCCCAACAAAGCTTTTAGCTTCCCCCCGCCCTCCACTTCAGGGGATTGAACTGCCTCCATGCACGGCTAGGGAGAGTGTCTACATGCTTTATTTAGGCTCTGGCAGGGACAGAATAAAAGCGGCCTCCCCAGCCAGCCAGCCAGCCAGCCCTCCTGACAGGAAGTGCTTTAAAAAATTAATTTGCAATGATTTACGTCCTTGCGTTCTGCGGGGATCACCAGCATTTTAAATATGTATTTAAATCAGATTCACTGCTCCCGGTTAAACCTTAACTGCCCCCCCCCTCCCCGCACCCCACCCAGCAGAAAGGCCACTGGATTTGGAGTTGGTGAAACGCGGAGGTTCAGGCCAAGTTCTGCTAATGACAAGCTGTGTGACCTTGGGCAAATTACTTAACCTCTCTGCGCCTCCATTGGCTCCTCTGGTAACTGAGGTTAATGATAATCCTTCCCTCACAGGGTGTGTGAGGATTAAATTAGATAACGTTCAGGGAAGAGCTGCGCAATGCCAGGCCTGTTTTCTGTTCCCCAGTACAGGCTGTCCCGCTAATTAGCCCGGTGACCTTGGATGGGCCACTCAGCCACTCCTGGCCCTCAATTTCCCCATCGGAAAAGCACAGGGGTTGTTCTAGAAGATGAGGCCGCAGAGCCTCCCCACCTCCATCCCTGAGCCCCCTGCTCACCTCCTCCGGCCCTCTGCTAGACACCCTCCCCTTGGCCACCCCCCTTTTACATTATCCAAGCACGCAGTTCTAATTGGAGATTGCTCCCCTCCCCAGCTGCCTCTCCTCCTGGCTCCCCGCGAAGCCCCCGCAGGGTTTGGGCCCCGGGGGCCTGCAGTTCTTGGCTCATTTTCAGGAGCAATTAGCCGTGATGTCACAGGCCTCCGTGGTGGCCTCCGTGGGCGTGTGTGCCTGGAAGCCTGGAGGGGCGCTCTGCGGCCTTCGGGACTCCCCTAGGCCAGGGGGTCCCCACTACCAGTTGTAGGGAGGCAGCTTCCCAGGCAAAGCCGGTTCCATGTCTGTACTTTATGACTCCTTGAAGCCCCGAGTCTCAGCGTAAATTAGTTCTACCCTGTGCTTTTGTTGGCACTGTCTGTTCCTTGGAAGCGAGGGGCTTTGTCAGGAAGAACAAAGCTGTTTGGTGGTTTTCTGATTTGGGGGAAGCGTGCTCCTGGGGGAGGGCACGTCGCTTCTCAGTGTCAGTCTCGAGTCCTTGATTCTCAGACTCACTGGTTTTTGTTTGGGGTTTTTAAGTCCTATGGCTTAAGAGTCACATATGTTTGTGTGAGTGTTGGCGAGGGGATTTCTTTCCTCCTTTTTGGCGGAGAGAGTGTGTTCTGTGGAAGCTAATTCCAGGGACTGAACTTTTCAAATCACTGCTTCAACAGCTTTTAAAAATCTGGACCTAGTTACTCCTGTCATCCATGTGTAAAGATTTAGAAGAAAATTCCAAACCCGAGGGTGGGCAGCCTTGAGGATGTACAGCTCCCAGCAGCACGCACGAGCTGTAGACCCGAGGTCAAAGCTGAAATGTCGAGTGCCTCTGGGGACAGGAGCGGGGGGGGGGGGAGCGTGGTCTGCTCAGTGCCAGACATCTGGATATTCAGAAAACATCTGGGTGGCTGGATTTTTCAGGTTTCTGCCTGACATTTAATATCACAAACACGGAGCCTGCCTCCCGTCCCTCACCTCCCAAACACACCCCGCCCCCTCCCCCCCCCCCCCCCCCCCTTCCCTGACGGGTAAGAAACATCCATTCTTTCCAATTCCCCAGCGTTTCCCCCCTACCGGAAATCTGATGGGCTTATGACATCATGGCTGGCTGCTGAGCGATGAAGTGGATGCCACAAAGAAATCCGACATATCAGATGGATTCTGAAATCAGTTTCCCTCTGGCTGCGGTAACAGGCGTGAAGTCAGGAGAATGTGAGCTTTGTTTAAGAAACAAAAAATAAAACTAAGCCCTGTCCCGTATTCGATACAATTTTTTTTTTTTTTTAAGCAAACAGACCTTTTGGACATCATCCTATTTTAATAAAGACGCTGGCGCGTATGAAATGAAAGCGGCTAATAAATCAGACCTGAAGCTGCCTGTGAACATTCCCTTTTGGCTGAGTTTTTGTGTGTCCTTCTTCACTAATAAAAGAGGAACTGGGAATGGTTTATCTCCCCTCGTTATTCAGATGGGGTCGTTTGGGGGGTGTTTGTTTGTTTGTTTTGAGGCCAATAAAATTCATCAGGTAAATTGCTGCTTTATGTTTTTTTCAGGATTCCATTTTTATAGAGTGACCGTGGACCTGACCTGGTCTGCAAACATTGTATTTCCCTCTGCTGGTTTTTCTGGCTGGGAAAGTGTGAAGGGGATGCAGTTCAGCCTGCTTTTCAGTCTCCCCTTTGCAGGGCAGGGCAGGGCAGGGCAGGGCAGGGCAGGGCAGGGCCAGGACCAGTGCGACAGGGTGGTTTGGGGGATGAAAACCTCTCTGAAAGGACAGACAGTAGAGGGGCCTGTGACACCAGTCCAGGCAACCCGGGGGTAGGGGAATCTACTGTTTTTCTCTGTCCCTCCAAAAAGGATCTCAGACCTCAGAAAGAGCTCCAGACTGAGGGAACTCACCCCCGATGCAGGCCCAGATTAAAGGAAGCTCAGGGTTCCGTGAAACTTATGTGCCGTGCCCACCAAGCCTCCAGCGCGGGGATTTGGAGTCTAACAGATCTGGAGTGGAGTCCCAGCTCCAACGTGGACAAGCTGTGGGGCCCTGGACAAATCACATCACCTCGTTGTCTCTGCTCCTTTGAACTGACCCAAGGACCCCACCCCACCCGATGGGAGAATCAGACACCCCTCTGATGCCCGGCCACTTTGTAGGGTTCTGGGGTCAGTCTCGGAGGCGAGGGAAGCCAGTGTAGATTCTGGACTTTATGCCCTGGCTCTGGCAGCTTCTGTCTGCATCATAGTAATAGGACTAGCCTCACACCCGGGTCCGCTGTGAGGACCGCGTTGTAAGCGATTGCCCAGCATAAGCTGTTATTGTGAGATGTGCCCCTGAGCCCAGCAGGCGGGTTGCCAGGCGGGACTGTAGGGCACGGGACGGGAGGGGACGTGTCCAGCCGAGCACAGGTGGAGGATAAGCGAGGACTGAATGGAATATTCCTCATTGCTCTGCACAGAACTTTCCACGGGCACCCATTGCCTGAAGGGAATAAAGCTCTCCTCTTGATCCGATCCGCGGGTACCTGACGCTTGGCCCTTACACATTCTTCTCTCCCCTTGTTTGGTGGTCCTCCAGGGCTGGAGGATGCTGCCTTCTTTGGACGCAATACTAATGGGTTTAGGTCACATTTTTGAGCACCTGCCATCATTTTATTTGGGGCACTTTACCTAGATTAACTCATTTGATCTTCATAGCAATCTATGCAGGGGGGACAGTTATTCCTATTTTAGAGGCCAAAACAAAGACGGCAAGGGTCTTGCCCGAGGGCGCAGAGCCCAGATCGCGGCCAGGGCTGGGTGCCTGCGCCCGTCCACTTCACCCCTGCTCCACTGGCTCTGTTGAGGCTTCCTCTACTTGTTCCCCCCTCCCTGCTAAAGCTGGAGCACCTGCCCTATCTCTGCCAAGAGTCTCCCACTACCCCACCGAGAGGCCTTCCTAGATTACCCTCCAGCGATGTCATCCAAGGAATACGGGCAGGTGTGCGTGGGCCCCTCACCCGGTGTGGCTCTGTGGTAGGCCCCGGGGCCCTTGTCTACCTCTCCTAGAGGCCAGGAGTGGGGCTGTGGCCAGTTTTGTGTCCCCCCACAAGGCCCTGAAGGCCAGGTGAGCCACCATTTACTAAGGACCTACTATGTGCAAGACATGGGGACCCATATAACAGGTGCCCACACCCAGCTTGGACTCCTCTCCCAAACTACAGACCCACGCAGCCAGTGCCTTCTGCGCTCCAAGTGCACGGCCACTGAGCTTTCTACATCAGGACGTCAGCCCCAAACCCGCCCCACTACCAAATCTTGCCCATCTCAGGTAATGGCACCTCCATTTTCCGTGACTTGCTCAGGCCCCGAACCTTGCAAATGTTTTGCTTTGTTTTTTTTTTTTAGTTTCGTTTTTTTATTTATTTTGAGAGAGAGAGAGAGAGAGTGAGCAGGGGAGGGGTAGAGAGAGGATCCAAAGCAGGTTCCGCACTGTCAGCGCAGAGCCGGATGCAGGGCTTGAACTCATGAACTGAGTGAGATCATGACCTGAGCCGAAATCAAGAGTCGGACGCTTAACCGACTGAGCCACCCAAGGCGCCCCACCTTGTGAGCATTTTTAACTCCTCCCCTCCCTTTCTCTCATTCTCTCTCCCTGCTCATCCCTCATTCAATCCATCAGCAAATACCACTGGTTGTATTTTCAAAATATACAACTTGGGGTACCTGGGTGGCTCCGTCAGTTAAGCATCTGACTTCGTTCGGCTCAGGTCGTGATCTCACGGTGCTGGAGTTCATGCCCCGTGTCGGGCTCTGTGCTGACAGCTCGGAGCCTGGAGCCTGCTTTGGATTCTGTGTCTCCCTCTCTGTCTCTGCCCCTCCCCCATTCATGCTCCGTCTCTCTCTGTCTAAAAAATAAACATTAAAAAAAAAAAATCAACAACTTGACCATGCCCACTGCCACTATGCATGAGTATAGCAGCCTCCTCATGGGTCTCCTGCTTCCCCCTCGGGCCCCTGGAATCCATTCTCTGTGCAGTAGCCAGAGTGATCCTGTTAGAACTTAGGTCAAATTCTGTACTCCTTAGCCCAGAGCCCAATGGCTCCCGGCTCAGTCAGGGTCAAAGCAGAGTCCTGCCTGTGTCCCCAGCTGGATCCCTCTCTGACCTCGATTCCTGCCACCCCCATCCTACTCATTCACCTCCTTGCATTTCCTCCACCATCCCATGCATATTTCCACCTCAGGACCTTTGCACTTGCTGGTCCCTCTCCCTGGTATCCTCTTTCTTCTGATGTTTATATCACTTTCTATTTTGCTTCAGAGGTCTGATCAAATGTCACCTGCTCAGAGACACTTTCCCTTGCCACCTTCCCCTGTCCTTTTCCTACTCTGCTATCCTTTCCCTGCTCTGTCGCTCCTCCTAGCACTTATCCCCTCTTGTATGTGTGTGTAATACAGGGCCCTGCCTGTCTTCTCATTGCTGTATCCCTGGTTCTCAATAAGCATTTGTTGAATGAAAGGATCGACGTATGGGCGCCGCGCGGGAACAGCAAGCATTGAACACCTGTGCCCAGGTTCTGCGCTGGGTGCTGAGGCGAAACAAGTGAACAAGGCCCCTCTGCTCCCACCCCGTCCCACCCCCAGAACCCTCATCTAGAGAGGTGGACACTGAGCAAGAAATCGCAAAGCAGGTGGAGGGGGGTGGTGTCGGGGAATGAACTCAGTGGAGACATGGGCCCAGCTGGCCGGAGGGCATACACGAGGTGACCGGAAGGGGAAGAGGAATCAGAGGGATGGGGGTGGGGTGGACCGGTGGGGCGGTACACCCTGGGGGCCGAGGACGGGGCTGTGGGCAGGGAAGAGTAGTTGGTGGGGCCTTCAAGGTCAATAAGAACCTGGTGGGTGGAGAGAAGGGCAGGTCTTCCCGCCTGGGGTTTCCCGAGGCGGGAACGTACAGGGCATGTATGTGCACAACTTGGCTGGCGGGGGACAGATTGGGAAAGGCCTTAAGTGCTGCCTGGAGAGGTGAAGAGGAGCGGCCCAGCCCGCATTGGGATCCTGGCTCTCCCTCTGCACCCGTGTGATCCTGGACTCGTGGCTTCTCCTCTCTTGGGCTCAGTTTCCAGTCGGTGGACTCCTGACCACGTACCTTTCCTACTTCACAGAGAGGGAGAGACTTAAGCCTGGAGGGACCCAGGGTAGAGAGGAGTCTGCCTAGAAGAGCAGGCAGGGGGAACAGAACGTGCGAAGACATGGGGCCCTTCTCCGAGCTGCACTTCTCCCTCAGTGAGCGGAGACTCAGGGAAGGCAACGAGGGGGGCGGCCCGGCTGTCCCCAACAGGGGCCTGGGGCACACCTGTCTCTGTGCTCAAGGAGCCGGCCAGCCTTGACCTCAGACTCTGCTGAGCACTATGGCCCTTCCTTGGAGCTGAAGAAGCCAGGGCTCAGAGAAGCGAGGTGACCGGCAGGGACATTACCAAATAGCTGGTAATGGCAGATGAGGGACTTGATCCCACACCCTGCTGTCCTTCAAAACCAAGCACCTTTGGGTGGGGCAGGTGAGCTCTTGCGAGGTCTGGGGGGAGCCAGAATCGTACAGGTGAGGAGCCCCTGCCTGGCTCAGTCGGTAGAGCATGCGACTCTCGATCTTGGGGCTGTGAGTTCAAGTCCCACGTTGGGCGTAGAGCTTCCTTAAAAAAAAAAAAAATTGTATGGGTGAAACCCTGCTCCTGGCAGGGCCTGACATTGAGTCCCGGCTCGCCCACCATGAAGCTGCCCTGATCATGGCCACTCCCTCTTTTGGGGAAGGTGAGTCAGGCTCTGGAGACCACCCCCCTGAGCCTCTTTCCTTGGCTGGAGCTTCTCTGAAGATTCTGCGTGCTCCTGGAAAATCCCCGAAGCCGCACAACCACCCCTCACGCGGGGGCTGCTGTTATGCCCGTTGTCCAGCTTGGGAAACTGAGGCTCAGAGAGAAGCACCTGTCCAAGGGAGGCATGCTGGTTAATTGGGGGACGTCCTGCTCTGCTCAGTTTCTGAAGGCCGCCCCAGGGAGAGAGGGCCCGGGTCCAGGTGCCGCTGACAGCTGGTGCTGGGGCCTCAGGTGGGAGCTTCTGGGGGCCAGCTTCAGCCCACACCGAGAAGAATGTTCTCTCGGATATGCCCGCGATGAGGCCTTTGTGGGCGCGAGCTCCCCATCACCACCGAAATTCCAACAACCTCTGCACTGGGTAGGAAGGGAGATTAAAGTTAGAGGGGCTGTTGGACCGAGGAGTTCAAATTTCTCTGACCTCTCCAAGGTTCAGTTTCCCTACCTGTGAAATGGGAGTATTAATACTTAGCTGTAAAGCACCCAGCCCTTTTCTGGCCCACGGAAGATGCCCAATAAGCGCCATTGTCCCCTCCTGAGACTCCCAGACTTCTTCTGTAATGGCCAGGCTCTGAGGGCTGGGTGAGAAAGGGGCCCTGTCA